CTCATAACAATCCTATATAGGATTTCCAAAGAGCAGCTGGTGAGTTTGGATTGCTGCTATTGATGCTGTTGTTCGATGCCACTGAGTCGGTATAGGCACATGGCGGCCCTATGCACAACAGAAGGAAACAGCGCCGGGTCCAAAGCAAACCTCACAGTCGTTGCTACGCCTGAGCCCATCACCGCCACCACTGTGCCCATCCATCTCGCTGGGGGTCTTTTTCTTTTTCTTCAACCCTCCATTTTACCAAACGTGGTATCCTTCTCCAGTGACAGGTTCCTCCTGATAATAATAGGTCTGAAGTGTGTGTGACAAAGTTTGGCTGTCCTTAATTCTAAGGAGCATTCTAGCTGTACTTCTTCCAACACAGATTTGTTTGTTCTTTTGGCAGTCCATGGTACTTTCAGTATTCTCCTCTTACACCGTAACTCAAATGGATCAATTCTTCTTTGGTCTTCCTTATTCACTGTCCAACTTTCGCATGCATATGAGGTTATTGAAAATACCATGGCTTGAGTCAGGTGTGACTAAATTACTAGACATGATTAAATATACAAAACAAGGCTAAAATTGATGGAATATATAGTATATAGATTTAAGCCCTAAATTGGTTACTTAGACTAAATTTTGAAAGAGTTCAGAGGGTGGGGGTTTAAAAAAAATTAATTTATAAAAGGCATAATGAAGTATCTAGGACTTGATCATGTTTCAGGGGGAATATGAGACTTAAAAACTCATGGCAATAAGAGCATTTCTATGAGAATATAGCTAGGAATTTCTATGAGACTATAGCTAGGTTATACTCTTGTTTCCAGATATACAAAATAAGATTCTGTTGTTCTATTTAAAAGTGAGGTCAATGGAAACGAGAAAGGAATGCTGACATGCTATCATATATGAGAATGAGCCAACTTAAAGGGAAAACCAAACTCTACCCTGAACTTGGAGGTTGTTCCAACAGACAGATAAAATACCGTGCATTTTCTCTTTCAAGGGAGATACGGAACGCTCCCAGGAGTTCTTGCTCTATTTCCCGTAGCTCCATTATAAAAAAAGTAAAAAGCTCTAATTCAGCTACTGAGAGTTTAAACTGTGAACTTCATTTATACATACAAGTGTCCTTCTCCCCTCCTCCTAGAAGACCATCTAACCCTCCCAGCGATGTACTTAACCACCTGATTAATTACTGGACCTCTGTGCAAATTGCTGTCAAAATTAAGATGATCATCTATTGATTTACCCAGCCTCTAAACATTTAGACTTTAACATATCTGACAAAGCCATTTATATGTCCCTATAATGTATAAATGAAGGTGCATTAAAGCTATGTCTATATTAATAGCCTTATAATAATTTGCTAACTACAGACAGTTCCCTAAGCAATTACAAGATGTTCGATGTTAATTTAGTAAGGAATTCTAAACAAGGCAGTTAAAACCTAATAAGATGCTATTAAATAAAGGGAGACAAGGGATTGGGAAAGAGAAAAAAAACCCTAAGGCTTGAACTAGTAGAAATGATTCTCAGAGCTACTGACCCTTGCAAGATCCATGTTTCTCTTGGATTTCTAGAGACAAAGCAGATTTCTAATTGAAGGTGATTATCTAGTTACTACATCTCAAATTGCATGTATTTCTTGTATTGCTTCACATCAACAGCTAATTATATTGAGCACTTATCAGTCTAAATGTCCACAGAAACACTTGAACCCATCTACTAACTACATCCAATATGGCCTACAAATTATGATCATAACAATGTGATTCTCTTGGGTCTGCTACCCCGTACTCATATCGATCTAGGAGCTGAATCAACTGGAAAAACATATTCCAAAGATATCATAGGAAAAAAGCACCTGATTTGCTTTTGGACTTTCTAAGGTGTGGATATCCATATGCATCTTTGCCATTCCACAGAAATATAGTTTTTGATATATGCACGACTGCCATGAGTTAAAAAAAATGGAAATAAAAACAAAATAAAATTCTGAAAATGGAAGGAAAAATTCCCAAAACATATGCTTGACTTGGGAGTAGGTACATCAACCAAAAATGGAGCATTTGATCAAGGCATTGCAACAATCAAGAAATACACAGACTTCTCCACAGCACTAATATACAGTTGTTAAACACAGTTCCCATTAGTTTAGTTAATTAAGGTTAACATACAAAGTCACTGAAAACCCCTCATGTAGACAAATGATCATTTACCAAAGAAACAAAACAGGAGTAGCATCCACTCTAAGTCAGTCATTCAACAGATTGGGAAGAGATTCCTTATGAATATTAGAGTTATCACCATTGATTACTGAAACAACAGATATCTAAATAGTATTCAAAGTCCAAAGGAAACTCAGTATCTTAGAAAAGTTCTGTGAAAATAAGAGGTAATGCAGAAAAAAAGTGTGAACCTTATCACATGTATATTATGATTGCTATTAAACATAGTAAACACACCCAAGTGTCTATGACATAAGATGGTTGTTTTGTTTTGTTTTTTTTACTGAGACGAAAGAAATAGTATTCAACTTGAGAACACAGGCATGATATTTTTCATTGACCTAACATTGTGTTTTCAACCAGAATAACAACCTATATTCCTAGTGAGATTACATCAGTGAGAAGTATTCACACAGCGCAAGACTAACACCAACTTGTAGGGTAGGATCCATTCCAGTTGCTCCTGCTACTATTCTGTAGAATCTATCATTGCTTAAAAAACCATCCCCATCCTTCCTTACCTCAAGGGTCATGTTCACGGTACTAACGGCCACTTTTATTTCTCCATCTGACAGTTCCTTAAGATCCTTCAGCATTGTCTGCTCAATACTTAAACCTGTGAAAGGGAGAAACAATCATGTCATAACTAGGGGATTTTTGTTTGTTTGCTTGTTTGTAATATAAGGGGATTATTTAAAGAACTTATCCTGCTAATTTCAATATGTTTTTGTTGTTAATTGCCATTGAGTTGGCTCCAATTCACAGCGACCCTGGGTTTCCAAAGCTTTTAACTCTTTGCGGAGCAGCAAGTCTCATCTTTCCCCCGTGGAGAGGCTGGCAGATTCGAACTACAGAGCTTGTGGTTTGCAGTCCAATGTTTATCGTATGGAGCCACCATACTTTCTAATTTCAATATCTCTCTCTCTAATCTACATGAAGAAGTCCTGGTACGGCACTGTGGGTTAATGAGCTGGACTGTAAGGTTAATTTTAACAGCAAGGTCAGCGGTTCAAGCTCACCCGCCACTCCTTGGAAACCCTATACAGGACCGCTGTGAGTCCAAACCGATTCAATGGCACTTAAAAACAATAGTCCACATGAAGCTTTCTACTCCCGTAAATATTTACAATCTCGGAAACCTTACACAGTGTCTCTACGAGCTGGCACCGACTCCATGGCACACAACCATCTCCAATCAATATGCATGTATCAATAACAAGCAAACACACTCAGTTAAAATTACAATACTCATGATATATGAGGGTAAGTCAAAAAGTATTGTTACTCCAGTTCATCCATGTAAAAGTTTATTCCAAATAAAACATGTTTTAGCAGTCTATGTGATCAGTGGATGGCTGCAGACAAGTATTAACAGTGATATACTTGTCTTAGTCTCATTAGGGTACCTTTCAAAAAAGATCCAATCAAAACAGTGGCTTCCAAGGAGATCTGTTAGACCAGTAAAATTCAAGATGAAGAGATCAGATCAGAAGGTTATGGCCATTGCATTTTGAGATTTCGAAAAGGTCATCTTGATAGATTTTCTCCAAAGACACAAGACAATCATAGGTTTTATTAGGAAGAAGTTCTAAGAAAACTGAAATCTGCATTAGTGAGAAAAAACCCAGGAAAATTGCACTGAGGAATTTTCGATCATGAGAACACACCACACATTCTTCAAAGGCAATAAGGTCTGTCCTATGAGAATCTTATTGGGGAAAGTGGCATCCTTGAGGGACTCGAATCCTGTTCCTTTTAAAAATTACTTGCATTTGTGGAATAACAACAAAAAGAAAGCCTGAAAGGGCAGGATTAGGACTCTAGGGTAGATAGGGTATAAATCGAAGAGCACAAAATTCTTCAGGGGAGGAGTAGAAAGATGGAAACACTGCCTTCAGACATATATAGACCCAGATGGCGGATGTGTAGAGAAATAGTAGCTTCACATTTATTACTTTTGTTTAATAAATGAGTCTATGATTTGGTGGCAATATTTTTTAACTTGCCCTCCTATACATCAGTTAGAATCCCTGCAGAATTTAGAATTAACGCCATATAATATAAAGGAGGAGTCCTGGTGTGGCGCTGTAGAAGCACTAGACTGCTAATCAAAAGGCCAGTGATTCAAACCTACCAGTTGCTCCTTAGAAACTCTGTATGGGGTTGCTCTGAGTTGGAACTGACTCAATAGCATGTAACAAGGGCAACAGTACAGAGAAAGACTCTTTAATAGCAGGGCACTTACAGAGATGTGGGAAGGATGGGGGGAGTGAATAAGGCATGGTGAAGCACCTAGAGATTAGCAAGAGGAAGGGAAGAGATCTGGAACAATGGTAAGAAATGCTGCCGGAAACTTAGCACCAAACTCAGAAAGGTGCAAAGAAGAAATACTACTGCTTCTCTCTTCTCCTTCCTTCCACATCCCACCCCTACATCCTTTCCTGCCGTCACACACACACACACACACACACAAACACACATGGTTTTGTACCTCTTCCCATTGGCCAAGGTAGTCCAGAAGACTTAAATACTCAAAGGTAAAACTGTGGAAGCCCAGAGAAAAGAAGAGCATACAAAAATGAACAGGTATCATAACCATGCCAACTAGAAAAATACCACCAAGAAATCTATCTTCTGTAACGTTTAGGTGAGCCTCCATGTTTTCAGTACAATTTTACTCGAAATGCATTTTACAAATGTGACCCATGAAAGGATCATATGTTAGTCACTCTTGTAACGGAGCATGGTGGTGCTGTAGGCTAAGCATTGGACTGTGAACCACAAAGTCAGTGATTCGAGCCTACCAGCTACTCTGTGGGAGAAAGATGAGACTTTGTGCTCCAGTAAACATGAACATCCTCAAAAACCCTGTACAGGGTGGCTATGCATCAGAATTGACGTAATGGCACTTAACAACAACAACAACCTTAGTAACAGACACTACTATTGAATTGCTTCTGACAGGCAAATAGGAACTGTTGATTTTCTTAAATATTGGGAAGGATAATCCAGAATGTTAAACTATCCAGAACCACATATGTGATAAATGTGCTTTAATAAAATCTATCATTGGAAACCAGAAACAGCTGACACTGACATTTGATTCCCAACCTATGTTATTATCTCTGATTAGGCCTAACCTCTGGGGGAGAAGAGTCATAATAAGGAAGAACTAGGAAAGCACATATATCATTTCCAGATACATGTTAAGCTATCAGAGTTGATTGCCAATTTAAAACTCGCTGTCAATTACTGCAGCATGGGGAAGTAGACAGCTACTAAGCATTGTCTTTAGCCCAAAGACTGAAAGGTCACCATCTATCATCCTGCAGCATAAAGTGATTTATAGAATATGTGCGACATTAAAAGTTTGGTTTGGCTTTGAAACCCAATCACAAAATGTGTCCAATGTGCAGCTATATATCCATGGAACTCTTGTAGGATAAGTGCTGAATTGCTAACTGAAAGGTCAGAGGTTCAAACCCATCTGCTGCTCCTAGGGAATCCTATACAGGGTCACTATGAATCGGAACTGACTCAATGAAACTGAACAACAGTGTAACAAAAGTATAGCTGATATGCCCCACCCAGGTTTCCTCAGATTTTCTCATCTCAGTGAACTGAGCTCTTAACCATGAGCACCAACTCTTTTCCTAAGGACTTTCTCTGGCCACCAGAGCTAGTGAGCCCTTTGTCATAGGCAAATTAGGAATGTTGTTGAATTAATACTTCCATCTTGGGAGCAGCCCTCAAGGAGCTCTGGTAGCACTCTGGGTTAGGCATTGGGCTGCTAACCACAAGGCTAGTGGTTCAAATCCACTCTCCACAGGAAAGAGCTGAGACAGTCTGCTTTTGTAACTATTGACAGTCTTAGAAACCCTCTGTAGGGTCACTATGAGATGGAAATGACTTGGTTTAGTGGGTGTGAGAACAGCCCTCCCCTCCTCAAGAGTTCAGATTAAATGTTCAGCTATTAACAGACAGGTTGTAGGTTCCACTCCACTTAGAAGCAGTTTGGAAGATAGGCCCGAGAATCTGCTTCCAAAAGGTCAAAGTCTTGAAGACCTTACAGAGTACAATTCTACTCTAACACACATGGGGTCTCTATGACTTGTAAATGACTTGATGGCACCTAGTTTGGTTTGGGGAGCAGTCCTCAATATTCCAGTGGGGTGCTGATAAATGTTAAATAACCACTCATCGCTCACACACACACTACACAAACCCTGTTGTATAGTAGTTAATTGCTGTGGTTCAGTACTTCCATTATGACAGATTTCAAGCTACAGACAGGATATCAAGTGACTCACACATTTCCTGATCATTTAAGTCAGTCCAGGAGAGTGGGTTTCAGCATACATATCACCCCTGAGGTGAGAGACGCCGGAGGTGAAATTCTACACTTTCTGTTTCTGGAATCACATCCCAACTACTTCCACTCAAGTTTGTGCCCCTCAAGGATCATAGACTGAGGAAAAACCCCATGAAATTCCGACTTTGTATCTTAAAGACTATGGTTTGGGCCTAAATCCTGGCCTGTCCACTTGGCATCTGCATGTATATGATCAGGGAAAAGCAAAGAAGTCTTTCTGTGCCTCAGTGTTTTCATCTGGAAGTTGGAGATAATAAAAATACCTGATTCTTAGGGCTGTCTTGAGAATTAGTGAGCTAATCCGCGCAAAGAGAGCGAGAAGCTGTTACCATGAAACCTGTAACAGCTGGAACTCGACATGACTGACTGCCTTGGTTTTCTGAGTCTCACAAGTTTTCTGCCTTTGATGAGCTGCAGTCTTACCATTTTTTCTGTTGCTCATTTTGTTGTTGTTGTTGTTGTTAAGTGTGGTCATTTCCGACTCATAAAGACCCTGTATATGGTTTCAAGAAGCAGCTGGTGGGTTTGAACTATTGATCTTGTGGTTTGCAATCCAGTGCTGCACCAGGAGTCCAATGCTCATTTAGTGGAAAATGTTTACGTTTTCCTTCACTGACAGATTTCTACCTTACATAGGTGTTGGCATTTGCAGGTTTTACTATATACATATATTAAGCACCCAATTGTAGTTATTTATTACTAAAGTAGATGTCAAAGGAAATGTAATGTTCGTAAGTTTCTTGATAGAGCCTAGACTTCCAGAACAATTTCATCAGTTCAGCCATTTATTCTCTATTTCTTTCTAAAAGGATCTCTGGTAGCGTAGTGGTTATGAGTCGGGCTGCTAACCTCAAAGTCAGCAGTTCAAAACTACCAACAGTTCTTCGGGAGAAAAATAAGGCTTTCTGCTCCCTTAAAATATTTATAGCCTCGGAAACCCTGTACAGGGTCGCTGAATCGGAACCAACTCCACGGCACATAACCACCACTACCACCATTTCTTTCTAAAATTAATTGATGTATAAAATCCCATTGTGCTTTGCATTGCTCCTGACACATTCTCAAAATAAAACGCTCTCAATACAGAAATTTCACGCAAGGGTGCATTTAGGGTACATAAAGAAAAAAATTAAAAAGTTGCCAGAGAATTGATTCCTACTATGTGTGTCAAAATTGTGTTGCATAGGGTTCGTAATGACTGAGTTTCCAAAAGTAGGTCACTAAGACTTTCTTCTTAGGTATCATTTACTGGGTGTAAGCCACTAGCCTTTGGTTAACAATGGAGTGCTTAAATGTTTGTGCCAATAAGAGACTCTGGGATGCATATCAGACATGTGGATTCATTACACATGCATATAAAGGGCCTCAAAGGAGAGTCTACATTACAGGTTTCCAGTTTTCAGATAAGCCAGCATATGCACCTGAAAATCTCCCCAATACACAGACAAGAGTGAAGACATGTACCTTTAATGCTGAGTCCTGCAAAGCACCCCCCTTTACAGAGAACTGGGGGGCAAAACCACTCACCCTGGGCACTGAACTGGGTCTCCTGTAGGGTTCTGATGATAGCTTCTCTCGGAGGCAAATTGGGAAATTTCTCCTCCAGAATGGAGAGGATTTTCTCCTGTTTCTCTGAGATCGTCTCTGATTCCATGTTCAGACACTGGAAAAGGATGCTGCCTGGAACACACAAATAAGAACAACCTTTAAACACAGACCCCCACATCAGTGTTTTCTGGCTTCTTATATTTTCCCTTCTCACTTCTTGCTTAGACCAAGGGCCACCAGAACGTAGCAGCATACAAGAAAATGACAACTGGTGGTTTGGATCTTTACAATAGGACTCTCATGTCTGTAGTTTTAGTGTTTCACAAGATAGGAAATGAGAGCCATCCCAATCAACAGCAGGGGAAATATGCTACTATGAATTAGAAAATATTGAATAACTCCAGAAATGTTTTTGAAGATTGTTAAGATAACCTTGTTTTCTCTCACTAATGTTTGTGCACTTGTTTATAAAGGAATCTTTTTCTATTTGTGAGGATGGAAGGAGTGACTCCTAGGAAATCCTTCAGGACAAGCCTCTGACTCCCAGCACATACTGTGGCCGAGAGTTCATAATTCAAAAAATAAAATGATACCTTTGCCCACCCTACAAAAGCACATGTACTATGTTTTTAAATTATTTCAAAATGGAATCTCTTTTAAAACATAGCCTACGTTATTTGCTTTAAGAAATCACAGAGAACACAATGTTCTCACTCATCTAGGATCCCATCACTCCATTGCCAATAACCAAGGGATCTGACGAGATGGTTGAGTAGGAGGCCACTGGCTGACTTTCTAAGTACCACACACAGTTTTGAAGTCATTTACTATCATTCAGTTATAAGGATTTATAAGCTGGTTGAAGCATAGGTTTAGACAACAGCATAACTTGTTAGTATGAATGCCCTCTCAAAAACTCCTGGAATTTCTACAGACATTCTTGCCTTAAAAGGGAAGAATTACAACCTGCTGCAACCCCTTCTCCCTGCACTCCATGCCCGGACAAACAGAGTCACAAGGAGAGGGGGAAATCAGTCTTTGTGACTTTGTGTTGAGAAAATGTTGGATGACTAAACTCTCTAAAAACCTTTACTTGTTGTACTATTGAATTGATTCTGACTCACAACTACCATCTAAGACAGAATAGAACTGTTCTATAATATAACCACCACCACCATAGTATATCCAAGGCTGTACTCTTTATGGAAATAACAGCAGTAAACTTTTCTCTTAAGTAGCTGCTGGTGGGCTCAAACCACCAACCTTTCAGTTAGCAGCCAAGGGCTTAACCACTGAATCATTAATCACTGTATCATCATATCTCGTTAGTTTTCAATGTAGGATAGGCTTAGTCATGGGGGGGATGGTAGTGTGCCGTGGAGTTGGTTCTGCTTGTGCATAGGCTTTCTGAGGCTATAAATCTTTATGGGAACAGAAAGCCTCATCTTTCTCCCATAGAATGGTTTGTTGTTTCGTACTGCTGACCTTGAGGTTAGCAACCCAACTAGTAACCAGTATGGGACCAGAACTCCCTAGTCATGGTGGAAGGACAGTAAAATAGAAATAAAGGAGGTAAGGATGTAGAAGGAGATGTAGGAAGTAAAATAGTGAGTGAGGGAAAGTAGGCCACACATTGGGACACTTAACCTGAGACTTAAGAATCTAGAGATTAGATTTGTTTTCACCATTAAGCATGCTGGAAGACCATGGGCAAGTCATCTGGTCTCTCTGTTCTCATCTTCACATGTTAAAAGAGAAATAATACTGTCTTCCCAACTTACCAGATTATGCTGAGGATAAAATTAATGTAATCATCATAATGAAAAGTAAATATCATCAACATATTCAAATAATTTTGTTGATTCATGATGAATTTATCCTGTAGCAACTAAAGGATCTCATAGCCCCAATGTCAACAACTAAGGGATTGACCAAGGTGATTGACAAGCAATTGTTGAGTATCAATTATATACCAGATGCTAATGATACAAGATCGGAATAGAGATAGCCTTGCCTCTTAAAGCTCACAGTACAATAGAAGTTACAATAAACACTTATATTTCAATATAAGAGGGTAAGAAATGTCATTAGGGAAATGCACAGTACTCTGAATCTACTGGAGTAAAGAAGGTTTTCTGGAGTTAACCTCAGTTGACACTTGCAAGATAACTAGAGGTTTAGGATACATGCACGGTGAAAGGAAATTATGACACAAGCAGATCATGTGCAAAGGCACATAGGTGGGAGAGAAATGGGGCAGTTGAAGGAATGGAAAACAATTAAGTAAGGCATTTTGTATCATTTTGGAGAAGAAATGTTAAAAATAGGCTAGAGTGGTAGACGGGGGGTTGCAAACAATCTTAATATTTGTTTTATTAATTCTAGGATAAATGGTGAGTCATTTATGGGCTTTAAGTAGATAGTTAACATGCTAAAATGTATGTCTTGTAAAATCATTCAGGCTACTATGTGAGGAATGGATTAGAAAAGTTACATTGGGAAGATCAGGTAAGAAGTTGTTTTAGCTTAGAACTAAAGAAGGAACAGTTAATGGGCAGAAAATACAACATTGAAAGATAAAGTTGGTCTAAATACACCTTGGGGTTTGACTTTTTTTTTTTACATAAAATCAAGATACAAAAAAATCTGCAAAAGTATCAAAGAACCACTCAGGCAAAAGTACCTGAGAAGAAAGAACCGGAATAGAAAGTAAGAATAGAGAGGTGAATGCAATTTCTAATTTTGCTTTTTTTCCTCAAGGAATATGTTAATTCATTAGTTGTATACAAAGTTTGAGACGTAGCATATCTGTCAGCAAGTTCAAAGGGCTTGTTATTGATACACGCTGTGGAGTAGGTTCTAACTCATAGATCCTCAGTATAGGATTTCCAAGGAGCAGCTGGTGGGTTTGGACCACTGACTTTATAGTTAGCAGTCTAGTATTTAATCTACAGCACCACACCAGGGGACAAAAACTGGAGTTCAGGGTCCTCCATGGAGGTATCTTGGTTAAATAGATGAGATTTTCAGACAGGAACCCTGAAAGTCCCATAACCTAGAAGATTTGGAAAACTATGGTCTGTGGATCGCATATGGCCCACTGTTTGTTTTTATAAATAAAGTTTTATTGGGACACAACCATGATCATTCATTTATACATTGTTTATGACTATTTTTGTGCTCTGATCATAGAGATGATTTGTTGTGACAGGGAATGTATGTCTTGAACAGCCTCAAATATTTATTATCTTTACAGAAAAAATTTGTCAACCTCTAGGAGAAAGGAACCCAGGTAATGACATAACACTTAAGCTCTCTACTACTATTTGAAAGGTCAGTGGTTTGAGTCTGTGAGTCACTCTGTTTAAGACAAATGTGGCAGTGTGCTTCAGTGAAGACCATAGCCTTTAAAACCCTATGGGACAGTTCTACTCGGTCCTATCAGGCTGCTATGAGTGGAAATCAACTCCAAGGCAATGGGAAGAGATGGCCCTAGAAAAAGGGTAAAGCAAAAATAGACAAGACTTCGTGAAGACTGAAATTCTGATTTAAGTCAGCTTAAGCATAGAACAGATTAAGTTGATCTTTCCTTTTCCTGACTGCCTTTGAGGATCAAAGCTGTGAAAAAAACTCATCATTCAAAGCCTCAGAGGCACTATATTTTTCATAGAAAATGTTCAGTGATCAGTAAAACATTAGCAAGCATAAAGGAAGTAAAGCCAAACCACTGAAAAGGCAAGAGGAAAAACAGACTGGCAACAACCAGAGACAATCAAAACATTAGCTGAAGAATTACAATCAAGAATTGGAGATGAATTAAAAAATACAAAATAAAATAAACTTTTAAAATAGAAAAATTCAAGAACTTAAATATAAGAACTCAAAAATGTGCTGCTTAACAGAAGATTAGTCTTTCAAACCAACGAGAGAAATGGTGCACCGGGAAGTATGCCAGAATATCTACAGTGAAACATGGAATAAAAATTACAGAGATAAACAAAACAGACACAGGACACATGGAGAAAGATCTAAACTATATGTAGGAAAGAGAGTAAGAATGGAGATAAAACAATATTTGCAAAGGTAATGAATCTAACAGTTTTCGAAATTAATGAAAAACATTCTGTAACATTCAAGAGTCACTATGATGAAGCGTCCAGCTGATATGAAGTGAGGGGAGGTGTACAAGAACACCCATAGCTTTAACAGCTGGATGATCAGAACTCGACTACAGGAAGAAAGAAGAGGATAAAAAGAGTAATCCACTACAATTTGATGAACTTGACCTATACTTATGGATGTAGTAAGCATAGTAGTAAGTTCCCTCACAAGAGGGAACAAATCTTTACAGCGAAGATCATTCCCACCTCCTTGGTACACAGGGTTGACAGACATTGGCTACCCAAAATGGGGGAGGGTTACAAAGGCACAAAGTGACTGGCTTACAAGCTTTCAAGAGGGAATCTAGTTTCAGAGGGTGTAGGGGAAGGTAGAATCTTCACTGAGTGGTTTCCAACCTCTCTGGACAGGGCTGGTGAAAGAAAATAGGGATAAGACAGACTCTTGTGGTTCAACCGTGAATAACCGCTCTCAGGACGGATAGTGAGTGTTGCAAATGTAAAGGTAGACATTTTGTAACAAAAGGAGGGAAGTGGTTGATTTTGCAGTCCAGGAGCGGAGGACCCTTGGACCATCAAGTGAGAAGAGCAGAGTGCAGGACCCTATCCAAAAAAGCAGTAATGCCAGAGATGGAGGCAGAGACGATGACGTGGAGAGATGGAGCAGCTGGGAACCCTGGACTCAGGAAGGGAGAAAGGCTGTGTGCTGGCGGCCAGAGGGTGGGCTTGCAGCGTGTGCCATTTGGTTGTTTAAATGGTTGCATTTTCCTGAGTGCTTCGGTGTACATCAAAAAAAAAGCAAAAACAAAACTAGAAGAAATGGACGCAAATGCTGTTGAATGATGATACATGGAGGGGATTGTAATCATTGCAATGAAACGAAGTACAAACAGGATGAATGTAAAGATGATGTTCTCCCATGTAAACTACCATCCAATTCACAAATAAAACCTTAAAAAAAAAAAAAAAAGAGTCACTATGAACCCTAATTAACTGACTAAAAGTAGAGACACA